TAATTAATATGTTTCCATCTGTACTGAAGTCATATATTCAGTTAAAAGAAACATTTAAAACCATATTATTTATATGTTTTGCTTTGAAAAGAGAGCTATAATAAAAAGGCAACCCTAAATAATCATGAATGTATTACATAATAAAGGATTTTCCATGGTGCTCTAATGGGAATTCTTATAAATCCAGTGAAACTAATGCTTTGTAGTAGTTTCCAATATAATTAACTGTTGTGACTTAGCTGCCACACCGTGGAATAATGCATGCTTTATGATCAGAGCCAACAACAACTTTCTCTGGATCCTTAGGTCATGAATAAAGTTGTCTCATGTTTGGAAGTAAACTGGAGACCAGTCTCAGAAATTCCAGCAGGGAAACCTAAGGAATGCAGAGTTTTCCCCATTCTCAGGAGCCCCCCGCCCGAGAGCAGGTCAGAATCCCCCCGCAGTTGCAAGGCAGGTGCTGTTCTGGGGCTGCCCTCGGGAGTCGGCGAGGCGCACAGTTTGGGCTGTCACTCTGACAGGACTTGGAGCCCGGCCCCTCCGAGGGGTTTGTCAGGATGGGCCAAGTGATCACCCAGTCTGCCGGGCGGTGTGCTGCAGGCTGGATTGCTCAGCACAGCAGCCCACGAGGCCTGGCTGATGACCCTGGCAGAGTGGACAGACAGTTGAGCTCAAAACTAAGTCCAGAAGTAAAAGTTTGGGCTGAAATGAGCTGGACCAGTGCCTTCTACTGTGTGTACTGGAAAACTGCCAGAATTCTGTTCCCCTCGGGTCCTTTCACCAAGGCTACAATTTGCTGTCTCATCAGATAACTGGCTCATCATGCTATATACACAGTAAGTCATCTAACTGCCAAACTCCTGGCTTTCAAATTATGAATATTAAAAAAGAATAGTTATAAAATTATTATGCCACTATGTGAAAATGGAAAGGATTTGATGCATCTTGAAATGCATGGAGGAGACCCCGGTTATAGAGTAGGTAAACATTTAAATCAGTAGCTGGGCATGGTGGCACACACCTATAATCCCAGCACTTTGGAGGCTGAGGCAGGAGGCTCCCAGCAAGCAGGTTTGAGGCTAGCCTGGGCTACATAGTGAATTCAAGACCAAACTAAACTACATAGCAAGACCCTGTCTCAATAAACATCATCATCATCATCATAAATCAGTAGTCACTGTTCCCCGTGTTACGGCTTATATCTAGATGTCCCCCAAAGCTTCAGCCGTCATGGGTGGGGCTCTTCAGAGGTGGCTGGATCATGCCTATCTAATGATGGGTTCAAAAATGTGATGCTGGGATTGATTCATGGTGCCATACTAGAATTAAGGCTGCCTCGCCCTGGATGTGTGTGCTGCCAGCCCTAAGGGTGGTGAGCCTGGATAAGATACAAGGAACAGAAGGAAGGTTGCAGCCTGTGGCTGCTGCTTGCTGCCTTCCACACGCCCTGCCAGGGACGGATTCTCCTCTGCGAGGCCCCTCAGCCAAGCCACCCCGCCTTGGAGCCAGCCAGCTGTGAACTGAAACCTCCACACGCTGAGCTAAAACAAACCTTTCCTCCTCGAACTTTGGGCTTTGGATATTACGTCTCAGCAATGAGAAGAGTAACTAAGACACCCCGACTCATTAGTCTCTTTAATGTGGCCATTCCTGTTTAAAACTGTAATCCTCGTTCTCTGTCCTGTGAGTTCCCTATATCCTGCTCGCTCTGTCCCTCGTCCAGTCAGGGATAAGTAGACTGGGTTGCTGAGCTCATTGTCATTCTCCTCTCACTAGAACGTTCTCTTCATGAGGGCGGAGGTTTTTCCTGGTAACTGTGATAGTGGAGACTTTCAAAGGGTCCTTGACCGTACAGAGAAAAGAAAGTGAAGCTTTTGAGTGAGTTTATTAAAATAATTTTAGGGGTATAATACACAAAGCCAGAAGGTAAAGACTTAGCTTGCTGAAAATCTTCATTTGAATTATTCATTTAATTTCTTTTAAATAGCAGGAAAATAAAACACTATATGTGAACTTTGAAGAAAGACTAGCATACTACATCCCTTTAAACAATGTACACTCTTGCTGGGCGTGGTGGCGCGCCCCTGTAATCCCAGCACTTGAGAGGCTGAGGCAGGCGGATCGTTCTGAGTTCGAGACCAGCCTGGGCTTCAAGGCCAGCCTGAACTGCATAGCGAGACCTTGTCTCAAAAAGACAAATAAATAAATAAATAAATAAAATTAACATATACTCTTCCAAAAAAAAAAAAAAGAGCAATTAGCCAAATATTTAACTCTGAATTTTACCTGTTTCTTTACCAATATCTGTACCTGTTGAATTTTGCCTTAGATGCAGGTGGATCTCTCCCACTCCCCACTCTGGATAGGCAAAACTTCTTTTATATACTTTTTAGGCAATTAGGATTGACGGAGAAACATATTTGATCTACACTAAAGGTGCAGTAATCCAGTGAATTGTTTTATTCTGCAAACAGGCATAATGTTATACTGTATGTCTCTATGAAAATATAGGCTAATCTTATTTCCAAATTTGCCTCTTTTACATGTCTTTTTATTGCAGTACAATTTTCTATCCCACAATGAATTAGAGCAATAATGACATCCGTGTCCAGCTTTTAGTACTAAGAGCACCTTCCACATGGCAGTAATTGGCAGCCTTAAGGATACGGATCAAATCTTACTTCCTAAATCTAGTTGCAGTCATATATATGTAAACTAAAAGTGTTTGGTTATAATTTCCTTCCTTACTCTAATAGTGTGTATTAAAATTTTACACAAGTTTAGTTAGAAAAAGCAGTTTGCCTTTTGTTTCTGTAACATAAATGTTGCTATATAAAGCAAAATAAATTACTAACAAGTCGTAGGTATTTAATGTATACTGAATAAAATTGCATGGTTTTCCGAAAATAGGATAGTAGATTAACGTTTCATCTCAAACCTAAAATATATTGCTAATTTATACTCAGATGTTTTGTCAGAAGTTTAAAATTTTGGCATTTGTAGGTAAGCAACCTTTCAGATAACCATATTTAAAGTTAGGCTTTGGGGAAGACTCAAATGGTTGTTAGTCTTTGTGCAATAACCCGGCTTGGTTATTAAGAACTGACCGGGCTACAGAATATACACGCCTAGTGTCTATCAATTTGTATACCAGGAGATGAAGACTTGCTAACACGTATGTATGACTTGGTTGCAAAGAATCTAAGCCAAAATTTTTTGTACTCCTCTTTCGCGAGACGCTAAGGTTTTGTGCAATCATTGGTAAGTGCAGTACACTCTGAATTTTCTAATCAGGTGATTTCATAATTTGTATCAGAGTAATTTCTCCAACCTGAGTTTTTTTTCTCTTCTTCAATCTCATAGTTACATTTTTATCTTTGTCAGCTGATGGTTATACTTTGGCTCCCTGTTAAGGGTGTGAGGAAGTGAATAATGTGTTGCCACACACATATGGTCCATGCCTATTTTGGTACACACGAGACCTTAGCTTTTTGAATGGTGCAAATGAAGATGCAGATATACACAAGTGCAGACCATCGGCGTTCATGGGACGAAGGCCTTGTTTTGATTTCTTTTAATAGCTGAACTGTTAGAGTCAAACTGACCTGTCTTCAGCATATTTCTTGTTACTTTCCGGTAGAAACAGTCAAAATCTTCTTGCTGTTTTGAAATATAGAACGCATTAACTACAGAGCCCTACTGTGCAATAAAACACCCGACCTTGTTCCTCATCTCTAACTAGGATGATGTATCTTGTGATCAACCTCTCTGCTTCCTCGAGGCAGCCTTGGTAACCCATTCTCCCAACACCTGCAGGGCCCACCTTGGATTTCACAGATGAGTCAGATCATGCAAGGTCCATGTGTGTGCCTGGCCTGTTTTACTTACTGTCCCCTGGGCTAACCCATGTTGTCAAGGATGACAGGCTTCCATCTTTCTTATGCCTGAAGAGCGCTCCACTGTGGACATGACCGGGTCTTCTTTCCTCATTGGCCCACCGATGGACATGGAGGTTGACCCCATACCTGGGCTTTTATGACTAGTGCTGCCATAGACATGCGTGTAGATGTCTCTTCCACATGCTAATTGCTTTACCTTTGGATATATACTCAGTGGCGAGCTTGTACAGTGGTTTTAGTTTTTATTGTTTAAGGACCCTCCCTGCTGTGTTCCATAATGACTGTACTAATTTTTATTCCTATCCAGTCTCTCATTGACAGCCCCGTGTTTTACTGTGTCTAAAATCAGGTTGAGGAATGAAATCCATACTTGTAGAACAGTCGTAGATGTAACTGGTGTGTGCAATTATTGAATCTATGATCTTGATTTGGTTATAAAAAAATCTAAATGAAAATTTTTCATACGCCTCTTTCGTGAGATGCAGTAGACTTTGAATTCTCTAATCTGATATTTTCATAATGAGTCGGAGTAATTTCTCCAAACCCGATTTTTTTCTCTTCTTCAATGTCACAGTTACATTTTCGTCTTTGTCAGCCGATGGTTGCATTTTGGCTCCCTGTTATAGTGAGAAAGGTGAGAAAGTGAATAATGCTTTGCCATCTATAGGTGGAAAAGCAGTTAGACTTGTTCGTAACAGAAAAGCATAACCTAAAATGAGTTTCGGGTTTTTTTCCCAACTGCCCCAATCGCCACCTTCGGACTTTTTACCCAGACATTAACCCCTTCGGTGCTGAGGTTGCCCAGATGCCAGGGCCTGGACATCGTAAACCACGGGCTGCCGCTTTGTCATTTTGCCACGTCCCTGGCGGCCCGGATCCTTCAAGGGTCCCATCTTAGGAAGATCCTCTGAGTCCTCCTAGCTGAATAGCTGATGGAACCTGTTTAGACACTCCCTTGGCCACCCCCACCCGACTGTCCTGTCCCCATCCCCTCCCCTGCCCTCCCAGCAGGTGCCAGGCCGGAGGGGCACCTCCTGCCGCCTCCCCCTCCTGGTGCCGCTCTGTAATGATCCACCTCTGTTTCTCCTTTATTCCTCGCAGAGTGCGGCCGCAGCTCCCAGCCCCGTGCTGGGAAACATCCCCCCGGGAGATGGCATGCCAGTAGGTCCTGTGCCACCAGGCTTCTTCCAGGTACTGAAGGCGGAGGCCTAGGGCTGTTGATTTCAGCCAAGGCTGGGAGGAGGAGGAGGGGCAGCGGGAGGGAGGGGGAGGGGGAGGGAAGCAGAGGAAGGGGGAGGGGGAGGGGAGGGGGAAGTGGTCTTAACTAAGCGCAGTGTGGTGCAGAGGAGCTCTCCGCTATGCTGCCCTTCCTTCCTGTGCTTCCTTGCTAATAAATTAATTAATTAATTAAGCCATCTCATCGTTCATCATCATTAAAAAGGAAAAGGAGTTGAAATGGAAATGAGCCCGGTAACTGTGGTAAATATTCGTGGGAGAGGAGGCTAAAGAAAAGTTCTGGGAGACACCAATTTTTAACTGTCTAAGCTGTCTCTGTTTCCACAGACCGGACATAATCAAGGTTTGGCTGCACTTTCAAACTATAGCGAAGTCACACTCTATTTACTTGTCAGGAATTACAGGCTGCCTCAGAATGTTTTTGAGAATCATCTTTGCGTCTTTTAGGCTGGAATTTAATGAATATCCCTACATAGCACTTTAAGATCAGATTTTCAATAGATACACTAGTATTTCAAAATTTCAAGTGGCCACCTTTTTAGCAATGATGATAATGATTTTAGGATTATAAGACATAACTGTAATTTTATTCACATCTTAAATCTGATAGCATTCTAACCTAACTCCAGCCAACCAGATTCTGCAATATATTTTTATACATAATTTTATAATGTTCTTTGAGCAAGTTAAGAATTGAGAAGTTAAGAACTAGAGATGGAAAGCATTATAGGAATTACCATAATACGTTATATTGTTACTGAATTAGGTCCCTTCAGTTTTTAGATTTTCAGAGTCCTTGACAGTCATTTGGTAGTTAACCCATACCCTAGTTGTAGGGTACTTATAAACGTGAAAATGGAGAAATAAAATTATAAGTAATTTTACAAAGTGCATCAAGTGAATTAAAGGGTCTTAATTAGAACCTAGTACCAACTGTGGTCTTTTAGGACAGGCTTATTTGCTCAGCTGTTGCTATATTAATAACTCAAGTAGTTTAGAATATTTAAGAGTCTCCTTAAAGCTCACATTCTGTCTCAGGGGTCCTTTCTTATAATCTAAGAGCAGATTATAATGTTGATTATTAATTAAACAGCCCCCATTTAAGATAACGATAATCATAGCTTACAATAGCTGTTTCCTGTGTGCTGTGCTTTGCTCTAAATGCTTTACATATATAAACATTTAATCCCCACAGTAACCCTAGGTGCGAAGTGCATTTTATTATCATTCCCACTGTGCACGTGGAGAAACCGGTTAGATAAATGATTCTCACCAAACCAGAACGTGACAGAGCTGGAATTTATATGAAGGAAGTCTGGACTTGGGCCATCGACCTTACCTTATAAGTTCATAGTTGACTGTTTCCCGTGACTTTATCCTCCAGCTCTCTCTCGCCAGAGATGGGTTGGGGTTAGGAGTAAATCGGAAGAGTTTATCTACTCAAGAGTTCTCACAGAGCTCCTGTAGGAGAGCACAGAGCTGGGGAGGAAGCCACATTCCATCCTGCGCTCTGCCGGGGTGGGTAAATCCGTACGTTCTCACGTCCATGCTTGGAAGCACGCACCCTTCTCGTCTTCCCTATCCTTGTCTCAGTCTTTTTTCAAGAGTAGTTGAAGCAGAGTTAACCCGGTTTAAGTGATTCCGCGGTGGTAAATACTCAAGTTCCACTGGGTGCTGGGCACTGTGTGGGCATCTGAAGACAGAGCAGCTGTCATGAGCTCCTCCCAGAGCCTCACTGCCCAGCTGAGGAGCCCTTGTCCAAAGAGACGGCAGAAAGTAAAAAGTCCTGGGATGACCAAGAAGAGAGAAGCACTAAGTCCACCTGTGTTGGAAGTGACAGGTTGGGAAGAGCTGTTCATCAGAACAAGCAGAGGAACGATGGTCCAGAAAGCAGAAATGGCCTAAGAGGGGTGTGCTGGCATCCGAAAGACCTGGGGCAACGGGAGACTCAGTCCTAGCCCAAGCTGGGGAAGCAGAGGCAAGGAATTCCTGCATGTGAGGGTGGAACGATGTGTGCGAGCCTGTTGAGAAGGGCCTCACAGGCCAGCTGAGAGCTTGAGTCTTTGTTCAGTGGACACAGAGGAGCCTTGGGAGATCTTCCAGCAGGGCAGTGAACTGCACGTGCAGTGTGTTCAGGCTTTGGAGGCACCTGAAGTCTACAGAAGCCTTGCTCTCCAAAGCCTGCGCCATGCTGACTGAGAAAAAAGCAATTAGAGCACAGGAATTCTGAAAGTGGTGATATTAAATAGGTAGATCATGTGCCCAGAGTAGATGAGGCCACCAAGTCCCATTCTGAGAGAGGCACATTGAGGAAGGTATTGTCCAAGCGCTAAGTGAAATCCAAATGGTCTCTGAAAGTGAATCAGTGGTTAGGCCAAAGAAGGGGAAAACATTCTAGGAAGAAGGAAAATAAGTTACAGAAACCCAGAGGGGAACAGACGGGAAACCAAGGACTCCAGGCCAGGTGGGCTCAACGAGCTGCAGGAAGAGTAGCAGTGATGCAGCTGAAAAGGGGACCGTGAGGACTGTGGGGTGCAGAGTCCTGACTCTGTCCTAGGGTGGTCAGGAGCTGCTGAAGGATGGCGAGCCAGTGAGGCACATGTCCACGTTTGCGGTCTCCAGCTACAGTGTGTAGCCAGAATTCCAGAGGAATGGTTCTAGTAATCCCGGCAAAATTCAACGTTGGCTTCATTAAAAGAGAGGCAGTGGACATGGAGAGACACCGATAGATCAGACACAGAAATCAATGCAGGGGGTGCGAAGGAAAAACTCAGGGATAACATCCTCTTGTGGGGGTCTAATCTGGGCAGAAGAAGGTATCGTTTTCTGAAATAGAAACCACAAAATGCAGAACAGGTTTGAGACCGGGTGATGTAGGTCTCAGTGAGAGACGTGTGTTAGGCTGACCTGCAAGTCTGAAGCTCAGACAGAGACCTAGACTAGAGATAAAAATAGTAGGGTCATCATCATAGTAAGAGCAAGGAGAAAGTAAGAGTGGAGAGTTTAGGAGGACCACAGAGCTGCAAAAACACTAACATTCAACCTCTGAGCGAGGGGAGCAGAACCCATGGAATCCACAGCAGAGACTGCATGCAGGATCGGCAGTAGCTTGGTTATTACAGGAGCCCAGGAAGAGGTTTCCAACCTACCCCAGGTCCAGGCAGTGCTACTAGAAAGCGGGGAAGAGCTCATTGTTAGGTTTGCTGAGCCTTGCTGATTAACTAAATTGAAGGCAAAAGAGAGAACACTGGAGAAATCAAGGATGAATCTGGAGACACCAGACTGAAGGACAGAGGCAGAACACGACTAGACACTTTGGAGTTTGATACACAGAGCATTCGCATTTGTCCAGAGGCGAGCTAGCCTAAATATTCTCCCATCGGGTCAGGGTTTACTGTGTCCAGGCTCCCAAGGAAGGGCCTCGGAAATCCCGGCCAGCTCACCCAGACCTCCAGGAGAGAAGCATTTGGGAGCTTTCTCCTGGCCCTCACAGTGAGGAGAGCCGGTGACTCGGGTGTGTTCTCGGCGTCAGCCCTGGTTTTCTTCAGGGACTGGACAGTGCTTTCACATGATTCTGTCCATAATGAATGCTGCTCATGTAGAACAGCTCCTTACGTGAGTAGAAATAGCAGCAGATAATTATAATCCAAGCCCAAACACGAAATTCTAATCTACTCCCAGAGTGATACTGTCCTCTGAGATCGATCCGAGCCCGGGGACCTCGTGAGGCACACCATTTCCGAGGTCACGCCCAAGATAGGTCCCAGCGGTCAGTGCCCAGTGAAGGAGGTCAAGGGCGACTGAGAAAGGCGTGCCTCCCCACGTGCCTGGTCCCCGAAGGCTGCCCTGGGGGAGGGGCAGGGCCCTTGAGGAAGCCAGAGACTCGTACTCCAGAGAAGTCCCTGGCTCAGGACTCAGCTAACCAGGCCTGCTGCCTCCACCTGGTTGTAAGATATGAGAGTTTATGGATAAGTAACAGGCTTCTCTCGTGAGCTGATTAGGACTTACAGAACATTAAACCCATATTTATTTCTTATTTCAACCAAAATATTCATGAGGAGGATCCGTTTTTTGTCCTCTTGCCCTTTCCCACAGAAAGCTTTCAAGAAGTAAACTATACCCTCCTAACAATCACTTGACAAAGTAAACATATTAGCTGGGCGTGGAGGCGCACGCTTCTAACCCCGGTACCTGGGCGGACAAGGCAGCAGGTGGCTGTGCGTTCAAGGCCGGCCTGGGCTGCACAGTGAGACCCTGTTTCAAAAAACAAACAAACAAAAAACTGAACATATTCATATCTTTTATATAAAAGCAGTACAATCTTTTCATAGGTGTTAATATGGATGGTATCTTTCGGCCTATAAATAAGGGATAAGCTGATAAATGTCTAATTTTAAATTATAGAAGTCTAAAGATACTTATTTTTTTTACCATTTCTTGTATTTTGTTTTGATTTTTATCTTGATATATTTACTATATTCTACTCGCTAGACCTTTAGTTTTCTTACCTGAATCTGTTGAAAATAATATGTTGATGCTGGGTTGTAAATTTAAGGCTTTGACGTGAATAAGATTATAAATTCCTGTTGAAGATAAACTACACTGAGTAATTTAGTGTCAGACCGAGGTGGTCACCCATATGTTAAAATCTAAATTGATCAAAATCTGACATGGTAGGAAATGTGGTACTGTGGATTTTAAGTCGAATTTTGCCGGCAGGACTGATAGCAATGGTGAGGCTGCTCTGCCATCTAGTGGTGGTTTGCGGGTATCTCCATTTGCTCGGGATTCAGTATCCAAAGGTTCTATTTTTAGTAAGACTGCACTGTAGCAAGCTGACCTAATGCTTTGCCATAGTAATAACACACACAAAAAGAAGAAAAAACAGGAAGAAATTTGCCTTTTTCTCCACACTATTGCTGTTGACTAGAAAACCTCAATATGAGTGATGGCTATAAAACAGCAGGACAAAAACAAAGCCCAGAGTAATACAATAGCGTTGGTATTTTAAAAGGAACAGATGCAAAATGAATCGAAAAATATTTAATGTGACACTTGAAACTGAAAAGCAAGAATAAATGTGTTTATAAGCTCCAGGATAAATGCGTCTAGGAGGTCAGTGTGTATTTTATTTTTTCCAGAAATAAATCCTACATGTTAAAGCACCTTTGTATCAACATTCAGTTCCTCTTCAGGCTCTGTTAATTCAGCCATTTCATTATCAACAGCGCCTGTTTCACCCTAAAATTTGCACAGATAGTTTAATATCCTACAAGCTTTCTCAGTTGCCTTCTGTTATTAGTCCTGGTGTCTTCTCTTCCAAGGATTTGCCTTCCTGCTGTCTTTGATGACCGTGGCTGGTGCAGAAATCAGTCTCTGGAAATTCTCTAAACCAGAGAAACTCCTTGTCCCTTTCCGCGGGAGTGAGAGCCGCCACCTTACATGTTGAATAGGGAGCCACGAGATTAGTTATTATACCCTTTCTTCATGTGAATGAGTAGTGTACTGAAAGCCCCAAATAGTTAACTTCTCAAAATATAGTCTCTGGCATTATCTATTTGTATGTGGTTTTAAAATTCAGATATTAGAAACAGTATTTCTAGAATTAAATACACCCCATTTGGATAATGTAGTCAGGGAAAGTTGCTTATTGATCAAGGCTCAAGCAGTAAAAACTACACTTAATTTTCTTAGAAATGTAATTCTGCATCTTTAAAGAATAGGGATTCCAAATGTTGAAAATACAGCGAGTCTTTCCTTAGTATAAAGATAAAAGCAACTAAAAAAAAAAAATAAAGGTGCCTGGCAGCTGCTGGCTTTGATAATGCTATCCTGCAGTTGTGGTAATAGTTTTTCTGGCCTTAACTATTAGAACAAATTAAAACTGCTCAGCTTGAATAACTAAATAAGCTTTTTAAAAACTGCAACTCCCACAACTAAAGGCCCCAGAGCAGTGAGGGAAGGGACAAGGGACAAGTGGAGAACGCCAGGTATAGGGGTCCCCCCGGTCCCCCTGTTGAAAGAGAGTGGGAGACTCGGCTGTTGGAAATCACACTGTGTTTATGGTTTCTTTGCCCAGAAGAGGATGTAGAAGTTCCACTGGCCGCTGAGGGGGGTTCCGTTTTCCTTTCGCTTTCATGCTATTCTGCAGCCTAAAGACATGGGGGTATTCAGAGGACAGATGCCCCAGGACAGGTTTCACAACCATGGCTGTGAGAAGAGCAGGGCTATTTTTCAGATAATTTGAAATTGTAGTTTTTTCCTTAGGAAATGACATATTATTAAACGTTCTTCCCAGAGTGCTTGAGTTTTTGGTTTTTGGGGGGTTGGGTTGGTACCAGGAATCAAACTCAGACCCTTGCACTTGTCAGGCAGGCGCTGTGCCGCTGAGCTATGTCCCCAGTCCTTCAGTTTTTATTAAAGTCTCCTGCTAAAAAAATTACATAAAGCAAAGATGCCAAGGCTATTTATAATGCGATTTTAGTTTTTTATTCATTGTTCGTTACAGAAACCAAAATGCTCAACATTCTTTGGAGAATTACAGATAAGGGGTGGGGTGTTAAATGTATGATTAATGTACCTGTTCATAGAGGTGGGATAGATTTGTCTTAAGAATACATTACGAAGCCCTCAGCTTTGGGAAAACGAAGTGGTGTTTAGGAACAATTTACCTTACATTCTACGTCCAGGGCTGATAAATGTTCTGAAAAGGTCCCAATAGTGAATATTTTAGAGTTTGAGGCCACATAGTCTATGTCACAACCACGCAGCTATTCTGTCGTAGGATAAATTCAACCATAGACACCATGTAAATTAATTTATGTGGTTGTGTTCCAGCAAAACTTTATTTGCAAGAACAGGTGATGGCCCAGTCTTGGCCCATGGCTTGTTTTATATAGGTATGCTAAGAGGTAGCTTGTAAGAAATGCAAATGCAAAGTCAGTGTTTCTCCAAACGTGTTAGGTAGACCTCTAATATGAGGGTCCTAGGAGTCACCTGGCTCCTACTCTATCAGAATTCTCAGATGTGGGTAGTGCGGGGCTAGAAATTCTTTAGTTTCATTTTTGTTTAGTTTCATTTTGTTTGTTTTAACAGATGACTCCTACACAGTGATTTGAAAGACACTAAAATTGCCAAAGACATTCCACAACAGATATTTATTGTGCCCTCCCTAGGCCAGTTACCACAGTAGACAAGATAACAGTTATCAGCCTCGCTCTTGCAGAACTTATAATATATTAGACAGTGACAAGGGCTAAGGCAAGAAAAACAAAGAGAAGAAATGAAAATTTTGGTTAGTGTGGCCAGAGAAAGACTGATCAAAAAGATGTCCATCTTAGTTACTTTCTCGTCACTGGGACACAATCTCTGACACCCACAACTCAGAAGAGAAAAGGTTTGTTTTGTTTCACAGTTTTGAGAGGTTTCAGGCCATAATCAGCTGGCTCCAAGGCAGGGTAGCATTGCAGGGAAGAAACAGCTCAGAGCATGGTGGCGGGAAGCAGAGAGGGAGGAGGATGGTGATAAACCCTGCCAGGCCACGCACCCAGTGACCCACCTCCTCCAACCAGGCTTCACCTCCCAAATCACATTTGGCCATACACTGCTTAGTGGACCAATCCACTGATGAGTACCACACACTCGTGATACCGTCACCACCCCAAGGCTCTGCCTATGAGTGTGTGAGGCTTTGGGGGACATCTAGATACCAGTCATAACAACGTCGTTGCAGTAAAGATTTGACGGAAATGAGGATACAAACCATGTGATATAAGAGAAACAGCATGCTGGCCAAGGGACAAGCAAATACCAAGGCCCCAAGTTCAGAACGTGACTTACTTTTCCAGGAATGACAAGAAGGTCTGTAAGTGAAATGGTGTCTACTGGGGAGAACAGATACGAAGTTATAGATGAGAGGAAGCCAGATCAAGAAGAACCTTGTGGGGCTGGGGATTTAGCTCAGTGGCTAAAAGCGCCTGCCTGGCAAGCGCAAGGTCGTGAGTTCAGTTCCCGGTACCGTAGAAAAACCAAAAAAAAAAAAAAAAAAAAAAAGAAGAACCTTGTGATTCTTGTTGGAGGCCAACTTTTACTCTGCATGGAGGATTTTACCAGTTGTGGCTGCATGTTGAGATTGGCCTACAGGAGGAAGCAGGACGACCAGTTCGGATGTTACTGCAGAATTTTGGCAAGAGATTATTATGCACCCAGGTGGTAACAGCTGGGTGAATTCTCTATCTTGAAATTACAGCCAACAGGACTTGACAATACTTCGTATATGTGTTGGTGAGAAAATAAGACAAGTCAAGGATGACTTCAAAGGCGTGCGGCCTGTTCCGTTGGAAATAATGGAGTTGGTATTTAGCGAAGTAGGTAAAACTTCAAGAGGAAATGTGAGGAGGGATTCCAGAAGCTTCCTTGTGAACCCTTTAAGAGTGAGATGAGGCAGGACAAGGTACTGAGGAAGGGCGCGTGACCACAGCGTCCGGATATTTGTGCCGAGGCCTGGGTTGCGGGGTAGCTTTGGGGTCACAGCTCAGGGATTTACTGAAAGCTGTGAGCCCCGACAGCGGCACCAGAACTGGGTACAGAGACAAGACGCTCCAGAAGGACAGGTCCTGGGGCATCCAGTGGGAGGAAGTCGGGAAGATAAAAGAGAATAGCAAAGAGGCATAAGAAGGAGCAGCCCATGAAACTGCAAGGGAACCAGGAAGCGCGATCCGTGCTGGCCATGTGAAGAAAATTGTTCAAGGAGGAAAGTGACCCGCCGTGTCAAATGCTGCTGGGCACGGAGTCAGCGCAACAGTAATTTCTATAAAAATCTGTTCTGTAGAAAGACTCTTAGGTAAGAGTGGAACTGTAAGTGAGATTTAACTATAGACTTCAGGTTTACAGTTAAGTCCCCAAATGAATATGATAGTTTCTAGAGGAAGTCGAAGCATGTGTCGTCACCCCAGCTGTGTCCAAAGAGCAAGCCCCAGGCCAGTTGCTTTATCAAACACCCTCCTTTTAGCGTGGGATTTGCAGATTACCGCCTGCTCGGCAAGGGACCAAAAGGGTCAAAAACAGATGCAATGCAGGGGTTGTGTAGTTTTGTTTTGTTTTGTTTTGTTTTTGCCATGGACAGTTAAGTAAATTGAACTACCTGTCTCCCATGCCTTCATCTAGAACAACTTTACACAGAAACATAAGTATGAAATGCGAAAAGGAAGGAGACAGGGAGTTTTGCATTCTTTAATGAAAAGTCAGATGTTTTACAAAAGTCACTTACTAAGCTTTAGGTTAAATTGGATCACCCTGATTATTGATCCTAAATTACAGATTTCAAATATTTATTTTCATCCCCAAACTGTTATTTTTACAGTGGGTTGGACTGTAACTATCCTTCTCATCAGCCCAAGCTTATGCAAGACTGTGGCTTCTTGTTCTAAGGACAACCAAAATATCTGTGTCATGCACATTTTGTCCATAAGTTGAGCAGATTATTAAAACACATATACGATGTTACTCAGACTTTTGTGGATTAGAGCAGCAGCCGGCCCAGTCCACATTCACAGGCAGGCTGTTGTCACACACGTGTGGACACAGTGCTGTGAAGAAGCCGGTAGAAATAGGCTCATCTTCAAGAGATTCCTGCTGAGAGCACCCAGTGCGGATTCGCAGACTGAATCTATATCAACAGAATCAACGGTTAGCATTGCCAAAATGAAAGTGAGGAAGCCGGATCTGTTATTACTCTACAGTTACTTTATGTGAGTTCTTTTAATTAAGTGTTGATGATGATAGAATATCTGAGACATATAGGAGATAAACTACACACTTATGCTTATCAGCAGGATATGCCAGCATAGTGTATCGTTTGGAAAGCTAAATTGGTTTAGTACTAGTTGGAATTAAAATGTGTTAATCAAGAGTGTCTTATTCACTGGGGTGTCAGTAATGTCTGATGGAGATGTTCATGAAAAACAAAAAAGAAAGGAAATAAATTAGGATGTATGAATTGTAGAAGAACTTTAAATTCATCTGATGTATAATTTATGCATCATTACTTTTCTACAGAAAACTCATGAGGCATCTCATGGAGTTATAAACAAAAATATGTAAGCAATTCTTATATAAAATGTAGTTGAGATAAAATAAGGAGTCAAATACAATGATTTTTCAAAATAATTTTCCCAATATTATGGTGGGTAGAACTTGACTTCAGGAAAGTTAACACATTCAAGTTAAAATGGATTTACTTGTAAGTAAAATAGCGAATGAAATCTGTATCAAGAATATCACGTAAAGATGTTTAGTTAAGTAAAAATAGACATAATAAAAACTAATATTGTTTTTAAGAGTATTTATGTTTTTGATTAAATCTTATAGCAAATATATTTTTATTACCTTTCCCAGACTGAATAAGTATGTCCTATCACATCTATATACAACTTCAGTCTAGATTCTAGAATAAATTTTATGCCATAGAAGTATGTGTTGGTCCTTGTAGTTGCTTATACTAGTATGCTGAAAACAGTAGTGGGTCCAAAGCCCTCTGCCCAGGACCAGTGAAATAGATCTGTGATCTGTGTGCACATAATGAGATCACTGAAGATAGCGCCATGCTTCCAGGCCAAAATCCACACTGTACCTTGTGCTTTGGCCTAAATGTTAAGGAAAGCAATGCTTTGGCAGATAACTATTTCCTCTGGGTTTTTGATCTAAAGATGGTTACATGCTAAAGATGGTGTACTAAGAAAGTTATTGCTCAACTGCTGTTCTTAATGGAAAGAGAATTTGTTGTTGAAGGCTTATTTCTGAGACTTGGCCCAAGGATTATAAACTTTTAAAATATATTTCAGTCCAAACAGATAAGGATCCCAGTAGGTGAGCTGCTGCCTAGAATTCTTTCAGCTGCTTGTGCTCCAGAGAAGGATCTGGACATTACCACACTTCTAGACATAAATTACCCAGGATCTTTCTATACCAGTGGTGGCTACTATTGCTATTCCATAAACTACCTAAGAAGCATTATTTTAAAACCTGACACCCCAGAAATAGTTAGAAAAACCTGAAAGAAGTAGGCAAAAATAAAAAGCCTTGTTAGTCATCTAAATTGTAAGCTCTCTTACATGTCGTGAAAATGGCTATTTTCATTTTAATTCAGTTGGGGCCTCCACTCTTCTTAGGTTCTCTAGCAGATGTAAGTTACCCTATTTAAGCAAGATTTTTTCCTCTTGACTAGATAAATTTATAAGCATTTTATTACCACATGGCCAGATATGCTGTTAACAATAGTATGGCTACTCTGCAAAATCAACAGATGTCATTATTTTTAACAAGACGAAGAAATTGGCCAGATAGAGTTTTGTGCCCAAGGACCAAGCTTCACTGCCTCTTGCTGGTTTGGAGAGCCTTTTGTACATCAGCGTTGTCCGTCACTCAGCCATGAGCCCGAGCCCAGCAGACCTTGAGTGCTTGCTCCGCACATCCTTACAGTGTGCTAGCAGCTCCCTCCCTCTCCTAGAACATTATCACTCTGTGGTGGACTCTTCATTAGAGCGGTGATGCTCTTCTAATAATATCACACCCGTTTCCCAACCTCTCTCACCTGTCGCCTGTTCCCTGTCAGCAGTTATTTTTAAAAACACAAATAAATGTGCCAAAGACTATCTGTTATTAAAACACCATCAACAATATTTAAGAAAAGAGAAGTAGAGTTTGCTAACTTAATTTCGTGTCAGTGGTGGCCTTTGTTTTAGTCTAGTAAATCCAGAGTACATGCTAATTACTGCTTTATATGCACAAACTAGCAGGCCTGGTTGGAAGCGCCAAGTCAGGTGTTTCCCTGTGGTCCGTGGATCAGGAGATGAAGTTTGTGCCCAGGTTGTCACTGTACATAGGAGCTCCTGAAACCGGGAGTTAGAGAGATGCGGAGCTAGCCGCAGTTAAGGACACTTATACATTCTATGTAAAATAAGGAGCGTGATTTAATGAACTTCAGAAAAAGGAAAAGTTCCTGCTTCGAAATGTGTCAAAAGACATTCAAACAAGAGTATATAAGAAGTCATATTTTAGTATAAATGAATGACACAGCTTATAAAATGTCAAGTACGTCATTCCATAACGTATAAAGTCATTTGTTAAGTGAATGATCACTGTTTTGAGCTCATATTTTCTGACACTCAGTAACTATGTATTTCAGTCACTTAAAAAGTTTTCTTTTTTAAACTTGGAAGCAAATTTCACCAGAAAAGCTTTGTCTTCAAAAAAATCCAAAGTTCCTTTAAATTAGAGAAGTCCTGTGTAATTGTATTTTTCAGAATTTGCATGGGCATCTAAATTTTCCATAAACTATCCTAAATGTTACCGCTGACCATTTTAAAGAATTATCTTTTTTCATCATTACCTTCTTCTAAAGTGTGCTCATAAAGTAAAATATGGCATAGAAAACATACTTAAGGAATTGGTATTTTAAAGAAAGATTTTTAAAAATTTTTCAATTGTTTAAAATTTTCTTTATTATTGCATTGTACTTTAGGACCCAGATTTAAAGCATTTCTAAAGCCAAGCTGAATAGTCAAAATAAGTTCAAAGCTGATATTTATGTTACTATATTGATTTGAGAGATTCTAAGGAATGCTAACATTAGTTTACAGGTTAATTATCTTGAATTAAGATAATTACCTACTCTAATCTTGTTTTGTGTTCCTTCCTCTGAAGTGGGTGTCCTTCCTATCAAATACCTACTATACTATAGCACACTAAATCCTCCCTGATAAATAATATAAAGAAAACACACACACACACAAAAAAAAACCACCAAGAAATTAGAGGGCAAGGATGCTACAGAGAGTCTTTAACGAGAAAGTGACATTTAAACTCATACTTGGGGGTAAAGAGAAATATAATGACATTGATGGCTCATATTTATACACTTCCAAAAACTATGAAAACTTTTGGAAAATATTAACAAAATTAATCTTCAATATATCATTTAAGATGTGCAGTTTTATCATGTATGTCTTAAAAGAAGTAGGATGTAAAATGTTTCCCTTCTTTGTAATTTCACTACCAGTGAGTTATTTATAAAATAATTCCATTAAATGATCTGGGACCCTCTGAGCTGAAAAGACCCAGACTGAGAAATCTGTCTTTACTTAAGAGTAGGGGAAGAGAAAGAGCCAGTTTCATCTAATTCTTAGAAATTGGACAAAACACAAAGGCCTTAGGAAAGATCAAAGAAGAAAGAAGCTGCTACCTTTCACTAGCAGAAACAGCAAGGAATAAAGGAAAAGATCTCCCTTGTAGGAAAGCAGAAGTTTAAAATTCCATGAATAATTTCTAGATATAATGGAAAATAATAATCCTTTAAAATTTAATGACACTCATTCTGAAATAAATTATAATTCTAAGTGGTGTAATTTTTTCTCTAAAAGACTACTTGGAGGAAATGAGCTGGACACTTCGTTTGTATTTCTATTAGAGTGTTTTTTCCTTTCATTTTGTCATCAAATATTTATTGATTTTCTGATAGTATATGTTCCATTTTGCTTTATCTCATTCCTTCTAGGGTATTTTAGCCAGGCTGCTATAATAAAAATACCATAGACTGGGTTGCTTACAGGATAGAAATATATTCATCCTAATTCTAAAGGTTAGAAAGCTCAAGGTCAAGGTGCTGTCAACAGATTGAGTTCCTTTCTGGTGAGGGCCATCTTCCTTGTTTACAGATGATGATATGTTCATTGTCAGGGAGAGAGACAGACAAGGAGGGAGGGAGAGAGGATATCTTCTCATTTATATATATATATATATATATATATATATATATATACACACACACACACTAATTCCATTCCTGAAGATTCTCCTTTTGTGATCTAATTGTCCCCAAAGGCTTCACCTCCAAATACCATCACACTAGGGGTTAGAGTTTCAACACAGGATTTTGTGGAGACATAGACATTCAACCCATAGCATGGCACACAGCTGAAACATGTGGAAACAGGAATTCCTGCAAATGTAGTTTCCTCATGCTACCTAATTCATTTTACATCATGAAGAACCTTACCTGGGAAGCTCTGCCTAAGTTGGAAGCATTTTTAAGCACAGCCTTGCTTTTCAGTCAGGCATAGCACTACATGTTCTACCAAGGAGGGTGATGTAACAGGATTCTGAGGGAAGACACCAGATTGAAATGTTATTTTCTTTGGATTTTCATTGATAACTTGCCATTTGGTAAACGGAACATTCTATTTGTTCCAGATTAGTGGACTGATGTAGAGAACAATGTTCCCAGAAGATGGTTTTATCTCTTAATTACAAACCTGGGAACCCCCGTATCCATCAGCCGGAGCTGGGCCTCAGTGGATGCTTAGTAAATGTTTGTTGTGTGAGCAAATTTCACCTTCCCAGCCGACTGCCATTTTATAAGGACTTTAGGGATCATCTGGGTGAACTTCTCCATCTGAAGGGGGAAAAAACTAGACGGTTCGGAGCTTGAGGCCGCTCTACTAATTAGCAGCGGTACAAAAACCAGAACCCAGGCCTTCAGCTCCCACTCAGATGTCTTTTCTTTCTTTTTTTATTTTAAAGAAAGAGAAAAACTAACAAAACAACAGTGACAAAAACAATACATGACCTCAAAACTACATGATAGGAATTAACAATGGTTGCTACATTACATACTGTTGTCTGCAACGAAGTTGCTCAGTCCACCAGATGTAAAAATGTAAGACTAATCACACAATCAAAGACAATAACAAGTAATAAAAAAAAAGATTGAAAACGATACAGAGCGTCACCATACAAGATGGTAGAAATTCAACAAGGGCTCTTATATTGCATATTGTTATCGTTAAGTCAGTTGTTCTGATTACCAGATACAACCACACAAAATTGGTCAAGAAAAAAAATTTAAGCATTAACTGTTCCTTTCAATAAACCACAGACAACAGCAGTACACCTATCCCAGCTATCCTTGTATATACACATAATTTTTTTTCCACTTTAAAGAGAAAAAAAGAAAAATAACAAAAATACATAAAATAGCACAAAAACAATAAAAATGATACAGAATTTCAAAACAAGGTGATAGGAAATTAACAATGGTTGTTATATTACATAATATCAGCTGTCTTTTGTATACACAATTATAAATGGATAATTTTTCAAAATATTTAATGCCCTGTTGAAAACGAAAACCAAATATAAACATTGCCCCAAACACAGAAAGGAAGCACAGTTTTTGAGGTGAGGAGTCTCCAGAACCAAGTTAGTAACACTGTACAGGAAATAGTAACATGTTGGCCAGTAGACAAAATTGAGGCCACTCTACTGATCAGCTGATCATCTCTGAGCAGATTAATGTTTTAGTGTAAAAGAATTTAAATGTGTATCAATGTTCTGAGTTCCATTTGGAAGCAAATGATTTCTAACAGTGAAGTCCAGACATTAGTACAGATGTTCTCCATTATTCCTATATAAACTAGTTCGGGTCCTGTTGCTGTCTCCACAAGTTAATTCAGTCAGCAAGTGAGATCATGTAAGGTCAGGATCAGTCTGACTATGAAAACCTTATGTTATGACAGCACTAATTCTATACGTAGCTGCTTCATCCAAAGCAGTCTTTACATTTTAGGTAAAAATAATTTTTAATCTAAACTCAGTAGATTTTTGTCATTTTATGGTTTAATTGTATTAAGACAAACGGGTTTATAAGTGGTCTTCAATTTTTAATTTTTTTGCCAAAAATATAAACTAGAGAAAGACATACAGAGGAAATAAATTGACTAAAAATAGACAGACTGTCTCGCTCTTAATTTTATTTTAAGGACCTGCAGTTCTCTAGCCTGGCATGTCTTGACTCTCCTCAAGCCCTTGACAATCAGGTAGGAAGGTGCAGAGGTCCCGGTAAACACATGCATTCACAGTGCCACTGCTGGAGAGAAAGCAGCTCCCCTTCCAGATATTCCACTGAGTTGACACTGGGGCCTCTCTCTACATCAGGATGGATGTACGAATCTCTCATGCTCTAATTCCAGCGATGCACTTAATATTTATCTTAACATTTGATATTTAGTAATATTTTCGCATAATTTTTACCCTGTACTCCATTTTAAAGTGATTTTGTTATAGTTCGGAACTATCAGTAACCTATTTTTATTTTTCCGTATTTCAGTAACTTGGTATTATTCTTTGAATTAGTGATTATATCATAAAGTATCATGTTGTAAAAGAAAACCAGCCATTACAAAACCAATGGCCCAATACCCAATTATTAAAATTTAGGAGGGATTTCTGAACTGAAATGAGTTTTGTAAGTAAAACTGAATGGTTTAGAAAGGAAAGAGAAAAAAAATAACAGAGAAATCAGCTTCTCCCTGGTCATATATAGTTCCCATCTCAATCCAATTTAGGGCGCATTTTCAGAAGTCATAAAAGAGAGACAACTTTAATCAAATACGTGAAAACTAAACCTTTAAAGGCAACTTTGTTGAAGTTGGAAAATCTACTTACACTGTGTCAGCTGTCGCTGCCTGTACCACCCGAAGGACCCCACTGTGTCTGTCCTGACCGCATGAACCTGTGCAGCACAAGGACAGAGGAGAGAGCCGGGCACTTGCTTCACTGGGAAGTCAGATCCTCCGAATGACAGTGTAGAAAAACTGGGGCAGAAGAGCACTGGAGTTTCATTTCTCAGGGACGTCTTTTAAAAGGGCCATGGAAAGCGTGCATAGTCATGAACTGCAGACCTAATTTTCTGAAAATGTTTGTAGAAGACACATTAGAAATGGGGTTTAATTCTGTGCCGTGCTCTAAGTTTGACATGCCCAAGGAATTTTACACTTCCATGGTTATGTATTGAGGTATAATTACACAAAATAATTTCTCTGGTATTTTAGAAAATACAATAAAATTGGGGTTTTGAATAATTTAATAAATGTAATAATGTGGTACCCAAATCTAAGTGATTAAAATGCTTTCCTTCCATTCAGCACTGGACAGTCACCGAAGAGACACATTCAGGGCACTGTTCAGTTTCTAGATGGAAAGATTTCACACATCTTGGGGAGCCGCCGCGTCTAACAACATAAATAAACTTGGCTTTTAATATAAGACCTTTTTCTCTTATTGAATATATGCACTTCATAACCTGCTAGGGTCAAAGGATGCAAATTAATTTTAATTTTAAAATATGTAATCAATATTGAATTATAACAAACCCCTACTAAGAGAAAAATCAAATCTTTTTCTACCTACAAATGACCCCTGGAAAAGAACTGTCTCTGCCATTTTAAATAGAGCTACAAAAGAAATGATGAATTTGAGAATTTTGAAACTATTAAAGTGGTAATCAAACTTTAAAATTTAATCAAAAGTATATATGCAGAATCTAACTTGTATAATAAAATAGCCAGTACATCTCTTGAAGTCCTTATTGAGATTCATTTGTTTCTTTCTTAATCTTATTTTTTGCCAATTAGATATCATTATCTTAGTAAGTTTCTTTTAATTTTACTGTAATTATTTTAATATCTTTCTGAGATTTCTATATTTTCTTTGGAAAACTTTCTACTGAAAGCAGCCACAAAGCAAAGAAAACTGATTTATATTTTATTATTCTAAACTTTTTAAGTCGTTTCTTTTCGGATCTGAATTTTACAGTGTGCTGTTTTCTGTTTTGTTTGTTTATTTGCTTTGCTTCATTAGCCTTTTATGTCACCTCGGTACCCTGGAGGTCCCCGGCCCCCTCTGAGGATACCTAATCAGGTAAGAGCACTGCTACTTACGTTGTTTTCTTTAACTGATAAAGATCTTGAAAGTATTAGAGATATCTTTTACTCCATAAAAATATGAAATGAGCCAGGCATGGTGGTACACGCCATAATTCCAACACTCGAGAGGCTGAGGCAAGAGGATCGCTGCAGGTTCAAGGCCAGCAATGGGATACATAGCGAGACCCCTAAGAAGTAAAAGAAAATATATATCCTTTGTCAAACCCACACCATGCCACTTCTAGTAATGCACAATCTACCACAAGGGCTGGCCTATTCCAGGGCTGTCTAATGAGCAGTTTTATCAGGGCGCAGCCTCACCCATCTGTCTGCTTATTGTCTGTGGCTCCTTTTACTCTCCGACTCAGGCTTCCGTGGTTCTGACAGACACCACACGTGGCTTGCAGCTGCAGCTATCAGAAACAATAGAAGAGGGGATTTTGATACTGTCTAAGTCTTTACAGAAGCCTTTGCTGACCTTTGGAGTCTACCTTATACTTTCAAGAATATTTTAAAGATTGATGTAATGTTGGTACATGCTGACTACTGTCGCGTCACAAGATGATAATGAGAATTTCTGTGAATATAGTTTGGTTTACTGTCATATACTGTAGCTTCAGTACTATGGCTCTGATGTTCATATAAATTTTGTCCAGTTACAGTGGCAGATCAGGCAAACAGCTGCTTCTAGAAGAGCTAATTTTATTAATAAATAAATATCTAACAATGAATCTCCCAACTTTTTTAATCATAAGAGTTCCAAAGTTTCATAGTGTTTTGTTCTGAGTTTTTTTTAAATCAACACCTTAAGTATTTATTTGCCAAAGAGAAAAAAACACAGTTGTTTCTTGCAAAGAGGTACAGTTTAGTTTTAGGATATAGGCAGTGTGTATGCATCTATATACAAAGACTGATCAAAAATACTATGTATGTTTAAATTTAAAAATTTACTATGATAGAAGACACATTGCCATTAATTCCCCCCCAAAATACTCCCCTCATTTTAAACACGTTGATCCCATTTTTCTTACCACTTTCTGAAGCAGTCCTGGAGTCCTCTTTCCTTAGTGTTTTTAAGAGATCTGACCAAAAATATGGTGACTGCCATTGCAGAGTGCTATCAAGTGGAAAGACCAGCTCATAAAACAGGACGCTGTGTCCTCATCCACTTTATTCACCAGATCTGGCAGCCTGTGAATCCTGGCTCTTCCCCAAAGTCAAAATGACATGAAAAGGAAATGTTTTCAATCAATTCTAAACATCTAGCAGCCAGGAAAGAACAACTAAAGACACTAATGAAAGAGGACTCCGGAGCTGCTGCAGGAAGTGGAAACATTGATGGGATGAGTGTGTTCAGCATGAAGGGGAGAATTTTTATGAGGACTCATTACAATGAGACTTCTACTGTAATAGCTTTTTTAAAAACATTTTTAAATGTATACCATATTTTTCAGTCACACCTCATAATGGAAGTTTCTCTCACGGGGAATCTTGAAGGGGGTTTGAGATGACGTGAAATAGAAGGGGTGGTCAGGAAAAAGGAAGCAAGTAGAGGTTAAGGGAGAGGGCAGAACCAGATGACCATGTGAAAGTGATCCAACTGTGTCATATGCACCACAGAACTGCCAAGAGGAAACTTATTCATCTGTAAAAATACACTAATAAAAATTTTAAATTATTTTTAAAATAAAGTAAACATTTAACTGTGGGGTATTTAAGATAATTGTCTTTTCACTTTCTCTAGTTCTATTATTTCTATACCTCAGAATTATTCCAAATACAAAGTCAGCTGTGCTATCACAATACATTCTCTTTTTCATTCTTATTCTCTTCATTTCTGCTTCCTTCACTACCAAAAATAGAACAGCAAAGTTGCAGTTACTAATTCACTTCATAGAAGCAGAATTTTGGTGCTCCTGTCCACTCTCCTACTGAAATTACACTGTGTCTTTGAGGTTTCCCACCCTTGCTGGTATTTTTTGCCTCTGCTGCACAGCAGGGAGGGTCAGCACCCACCTCCACCCCAAGGGAGAAATTAAAGCAGAAACCATGCTGAGTAATCTCCAAATTTTAGTGTGGGACCTTCCTCACATCAGTGGCCTGAGCACTGTTCTGTTACAGACTGAATCTGCTGTCGACAGGCTAGGCCAGGGGGACGGGAGAAAAGGGAACCAGGAAGTTCCCAGGGCCCAGTGTGTCAACCTAGAGGAGCCGTGTTTTCTCTGTGGGTGAACGTGTGTGTATCGACAGTCAGGTCTGCTTGTAGGTGTCTGTCTTTTAAATTTCATGTGTATAAAGGATAGAAATTTGCAACTTTTATTGGAGTCTTCATGATGTTTCAAACACACCGTCCTGAATTTTGTACAATGGGTAGTTCTAGGGAAATGTGAAATTCCTGTGTGAGTGTATTAGCAGAATATGTTGACTATGTGTGTTCCACAGCAATAATGAAAATGTGATTGAACTGTTGGAATTGCACTCATTTGACATTGCTGAAATGTCTGCTGCATATAAAGACTAAATGAGGTTTCCCATCCATAGACTGTCAGTGCAGCCCATACTTTTAGGAAGAGCTCAGTGGTAAGAGGTAAAACTGCAAATGTAGAGTGTTTGAAATGTTTTAAGAATATGTAATGTCTTCGGTGTTTTTAAAGAAGCAATTAAAAAGCTGAAGGTAATAGTTACTGCATAGGCTCTCTTTCCTCAAGAATGTTTAAGATTTCACCTAAGTGTATTTTAAAACACTTATGTTTCTCTGAGTGGTTCCTTTTCGTCCATCTCTCTGCCCCCGAATTCACATGGATACTTAGTGCAACCTCATCTATTCAAACACCTATTGTCCGAGGAATTTACATTTCTACTATTTACATTTCTACTATTTTATAAAAGAATCATGTTAGTAGCTTAAGTAATATTTAAGGAAAATTATCCTATTTAGAAGCATGACTTTTTCAAATATAAACATTATTTGATTTCAGCATATAACCATTAAAGCAGAATTGGCATGGGTATTTTTTGATTAATTGGAATGGTGTACATAACAACAAAACTAGTAAAATATTTTTAAATTTAGTTTTCATTTAAATTGATCATAACCTGATGACATGTTCCCTTAATAGACTGTACCTAAGGAAATGGGGAAACACTGGCCTCTGCAGTGGTCAGTCTATACTAGGCATCTAGCTTATGTGAAACCTATCTCTCCAATAAACAAAGCTTCACAATTTATAACTACTAATCATTAGGCTATAGATTTTAAGTTTCTCTGCCATGTTTTTATGGCTCTGAACTAAGTTCATAGTGATTTGTATGTTTATAAGACTGGGTGTTTGGAAGAGGGTACGACATCACTATGCTGAAAAATGTAGGTACAGGTACTAGTGTCCAAGATGAGGAAAAGAAAACCCAATTACAGAAGCATGCAACATAGCAGAGAATAAACATCGATGAAGAAATATGTGAGACTCGGAAATTAAGTCCACAAAACATGTTTGTACAATTTCACCCTGAAATTGTTCCAACTCTCAGAAGAGGCTTGTTGCTGCATTTATAACATGAGAAGAACATTTCTTTATCCTTCTCAGGGTAAAATGTCAAATCAGAGAGCTTCAGGCTATTTACTGATCACGATAGTGAAGAACTGAGACAGCCAGAAGTACAGACGCTGAGGTTTTTGTTTTTGTTTTTGTTTTTCTTCCGGTACCAGGAATCGAACTCACGACCTTGCGCTTGCCAGGCAGGCGCTGTGCCGCTGAGCTAAATCCTCAGCCCCCAGATGCTGTTAATGAGAGGAGTGGCACTTGATTTATAGATTCTGTGGGATATTGAAAACTTACACTCTATTTCTCACTATTTCTGAAACATTAACAGATCTATGAATTAAGATCACACAAATCAACGCTGCTGTCCCTCCTATATACTAAAGTTGGATTTGGTATTCTATAAAAATACATCTGACCATTCTACTTAACCTAAAAGATCTCTGTCAAGTAACAGATGAGTGGTTAAATGAATCATGATGTGTTTAAATAATGAAATAGCATGCAGATATTCAAAAGAATTAAACCTAGTGATATACTGAAGAATTTCTTTCCAAATATAAAAAAAGAACATACAAAACATGTAAGCATATCACCGTCCCTACAGAAACACAAGACTCAGGAAATCAGAAGCTCTCTTTTGTTCATCTGCCCCCTACACACAACCATACTCATTTGCCAAAATAAAAAAGTAAGGACTGTATCTTTTACTTGTGGGCAGTGGGATTATGAGTAACTCTGCTTTATAAAACTTTCAGTATTTAAAAAATTTGCTTTGAGCAAGTGTTATCTATGTGATTAGAAAAAGATGTTGAATTATATACACAGATAAATAAAAGTATAAATATTTTATTCTTCTGGTAATTTAATATATAGGGTTATCCTTTATTAATATTTAATGGGCAATTCCTATATGGTAAGATGAAAATATAATGGATGTTAAGGAGAAGCAAATTTTAAAATGACTTCCTGACTTCTCAAATAGGGAAAAATATCAACAGGCACTGGAATGGATGAAAAGTCATTTGGACATTCACTTCTATACTGAAAATAAAAGTGTTGTATCCCATGTAACCAAGACTTGCATTTCAAACAAACCACACACTTAGTCTCAATCACAAATTGTCTTTTTCAAGATAAATACTTCTTAGCATATCCTTTACCAGTAATTTTCTATCTCTGTAAAATTTTCACATGTAGAGTTTCACTTTTAGTGAATGCATGTGAAATAAGAGAGACTTTACCCATAAAAAAGAAATATCTTCTACTGAAAATACAGGAATCAGATAGCTGCACTTGTAAGGAGGCGGCTTTGAGAAGCTCTAACTTTAAAACATGACCTATTAAAAACAAATGAGTGGTCAATAATGAAAAGCAAAAAAATAACTTCTTTGATCAAATCAAAATATCTCATTTTATGATAATTATATTGAGGGATTTAAATTATTATTTGAAATCCAATGATACTGTGTTAAAAGCATATTATTTCCTCATGACTTTGAATTTTGAGTTCATCCTAGGAGATTGTGTGTGTGTGCGTGTATGTGTGCGTACATGTGTGTGTGTCTCCAACTGTTTTCTGCCTTACAGTGGAACAGAAGTTTAAAACTTCAAAATGTCTGGCAAAAAAAAGTTCCTTCACTTTTCCACACCAAGAAAGTTTACAGTGAACCCTAACCTACCCTACCCAGTTTAAGTTATGGTTATGTGGAGATTTGTGATACAATGTTTAATTCTTCTGCCAGAATGTACCTCATGTTTTAGTCATTTATCACAGATACATTCCTTTCCATATAAGCCAATGCAGAGAGTGCACTGCTGCTCATTCCCGGGTTATACAAAACCTCTCCCAGAAATTAAGCACATACTTGCCGAGGTTCACCGTGGACCAGGCACCATTCTCTGGGGAGGGGCTACATCAGTGGCTAAACTGATGAAAACCCCTTTTCTTGCAGAGCCACTGCTGTGGAGCCACACGGCCAAGAACCCTCTGGGCTGGGGCGATGTCCATGGCATTCACATGCAGTGGCTTCGGTCTTTTGAGGACTTGAAACATGACTAGTGTGTCTGAGGAGCTGAATTTTTAACTTCACTGATTTTAATTAATTTAAATTTTAAAAGCCATATATGGCAAAGGCCTATTATATTTAATGTCACAGGTACAGCAGTAGAAATACAAAAAAAGTAAGTAAACATATATATCAGTGGACAACTTGTGCTGTAACGAACACCATCTTCCTACACTGAATATAACTTTCTATACTTTGGTATCTTCTCTATGGATATCGCCTTTTTACAGAAAGTAGAAAACAGCAGCGGTATTATTAAAGGATCTAAATGTGTAAGCCACTCAAGAATGTGCAGCTCTGAACTGGTTCATTAGGTATCTGCTTTTGTTACTATAAAAGAAGAGAGTGGATGCAGATATTTCTAAAGCCCCTCCTACTTCTGATATTTCCTTATTATTGTAGTCCACTTTATTTCATATAATTAGAGGGTCCATGAATCACTGACAGGTCAGACTTGCTAACTGAACTATACCTTGGAAACACTGAGGGATCCGCACTTTCTCATCATCGATGGACATTTAGTACATTCATACACCAGACCTTGAGTTCCAGGAGGGACTCACCGTGGGAGTCCTGACACATCCTGTCATGTCGACTAAATAATTCTTTTATGAACCAGCAGCTCTTTAAGTAGTTATTTTGTTTTCATAAACTATTGTTGTATTTCATTTATTTTAAAGCCTACAGTTTAAGGCTTCTCTTCAAGACTTTTAGGTAGGTTGGTGTAATTCCAAGACCCAGCTCTGCTCACTAATACTAGTGTTTAACCACGGGAAAATTAATAGCTAATGTATTAACTTTTGATTTCTTGTCATCAAAAGAATTAATAATAGTCCAATAGCATTACTGTGAGCACCGATTATGAAATAATTAGTACAAAGAGTTTAGCACAACTCCTGGCAGACACAAGGCCCATAGTGTATGTTGTTGTGGAGTCTGTTGTCTTTAAGTATCCCCAAAATTAATTGGCACTACTTTTTGCCAGAGTGCAGACCTTTCATAGAATGAACAGCATGTGCCAACATGCTGACTAGTTAAACAAGTCTGAGTGGAATACATCTAACATGTTAAAAACATAGAAATCATCCCAATCACAAGATGGGTAAGTTTATTTTTTCTGGTGTTAAGGTTTAAAGGGTGCAATTATTGTGCCCCTGTTGATGTACAGATTTCATTTGACTGTCAAAGGAATCATAAAAAGTGCTTTCAAAATTAAACATTTGACTTTACTAAAATACATACGTTGATAACTCAATAATTAAATTTAGATAAAGGTATTCATTTTGAAAGACAGCTTGAGATTAAGATTTCTATAAGATTATGCTATATTTTTAAGTGATGTGTAGAAATGAGAAAGATTTGTCAGTTGTCCTGAGAGTCTAAAATAAGCTAGATAAAGTAAATTTTTGAAGAAAATGGTTACCACCAAGACACCACCTTGCCTACAGAGGGACTTAGAGATTGAGTGTAAGTCTGGGGTATGTAGCTGTAAGCGCTAGGGATTTAGAAGACCAAGGACTTCCCATTCACAGCGGAAGATAATGTTGATTAGCCACATATTTCCATCTTCCTTTTGTCATGACTTTGGACAAGGCTGGCCACTCTTCCTTCTTGAAACTCTCCTCCAGTGTTTTGAGGAAATAATGCTTTTGGTCCCCTTCCTAATTTCAGCTCTATGTTCTTTCCTACTTTTTTTGGTATTTTTAAAGAATTAAATCTTTTATCTTCTTTCTTGTCATCCTTTGGAGTTTGTTCCATGGTTATGACTTTATCACTAATGATTGTTAAAATTATCCAATCTAAATCTTACTCCTTTTGTTCCTTCAGTAAACATGTATTACTCTGCGCCAGTAGCACAGAGAAGGTCCCTGTTCTCGCTGAGCTTACCACTGGCAGCACGGACTAACAAAGCAGACCTGACGTGCGCAGGTCTAGGGAAGCAGGGAGTGAGACCCTCTGTGCCCACCCTACTCACTGGGGCATCCAGGGGCTATGCACGGCCCCACAGAGACAGCAAGAAGGGGCGGTGTAGTTGAGACACGGTTGTATCAGCCAAATAAATGCACTGATTAGCTAAGTAAGAAAAGGTATTGAGGATAATGAAAGCCAGGTTTCCCACTTTTGGATATTTACAAACCTAGAAGGGAAGAAAGCTAAAAAATAATTCCAAAGTATCAGATTTGAGTCAGAGGTGTTGAATTTATAATCTGTGGATGTACCATACCCATACGCAGGTGTAAAGCTCTCCATAGATCTGTGAAGCTGTGCATGTATGTGTGTATGGTGTGTGTTTGTGTGTGTTCGTGTCCACAAAGGTAGACTGTCAAGCTCACTGCTTACTGAGAGGCTCCAAAGCAGGGCAGTAAGCCTCCAATTACCCAGGTCTTGGTGCCTCAGTGCGTCCTCCCCTAAGGTATCAAGATCCTTTGGAGAAAGAGCTGCTTCTAGGGCTGGGCCAGAAACAGTACAAGTGAACCTGGAAGACTTTATGTCAGAAAGGGAGAAAAATGCTCCAGAAGTGATTAGGATGCGTCAAAAAGACCCCAAGCTAGCTTGAAGGTCTTCCACTCACCAGGCCCGGGTTAATTTGAACACTGAAATAAACGATAAGATCAATAGATTACTATCCATTGAATAAGAATAGAAATCCAAGGGGCTGGGGATTTAGCTCAGCGGCAAAAGCGCCTGCCTGGCAAGCGCAAGGTCGTGAGTTCGGTTCCCGGTACCGGA